TAATTTTGTGAGTTTGCTTGCAAGCAAATTTTATGTGACAGACTGAGCTAGTCAATGACAGATAGATAGATCTCTGAATGAATCTGTGATTCTGTGAGCAACTTAATCTGCCTGCTTGCTTTGCCTTATTTTGGGTAAAAGTTGCTCTTTTTTAAATAAATTCAATATTTATATAAATATTTATAATATTTATATACAAGCCATGCCCAGCCAGTCATATGATCACCAAGCCACACCCACAAATTAGGCCATGCCCACAGAACTGGTTAGTGGTCCCTGGGATTTAAAATTATGAGTTTGGTGGTCCCTGAGGTCCAAAAGGTTGGTGACCCCTGTTCCATCACATGCTAGCCAGTAAAGGCCTTAAACATAAAAAAACAATGCCATGTCCCCATTCCTCATCTGACCTAATCCTTATTGAGAATTTGTGGGTTCTGCTTAAATGGGAGATTTACAGTGAAGGAAAACAGTACATCTCTCTGAACAGCATCTGGGGGGCTGTGGATGCTGCTGTAGCAAAAGTTAATCATCAACAGATCAAGAAACTGATAGACTCCATGAATGGAAGGCTTATGACTGTTATTGAAAAGAAGGGTGGCTATATATGGAATTTTTTTTTGAATTGTCAGAAATGTTTATTTGTACATTTTTAGTTGTTTGTTTATTATTCTCACTTTAATAGATGCAAATGAATGAATGAGATGGACTAATTTTCATTTTTCATTTAGTTCCATAATAATTCCCAATAATTATGCAAACATAGATATTCTCCTAGGAAAGCCAAAACCTCACTTCTACTTTCTTAAATATTCAAGTTTGAGGTTTATTAACATTTTGGATTAACCAAGAGCACTCTAGTTGTTCAATAATAAAATTAATCATCCAAACTACAATTTGCCTAATAATTGTGCACACAATGTAGAATCTAAATTAAGTAGCATAGTTACATGGTCAATCCAGGAAATTCCAGAGAAACCAAAGCTTTTTGGTTGTTAAAAGACAGATGTCCAATGTTTACATGCCCAATAAATGGATCCGCACATTTATTCCTATGGCTATTTTATGAAAAATCCAAAATGTTGTGCCCCTGAAATTAACCCAACAAACAGAAAAAAAATTAGCAGTATATGCACATCTCTAAGAATTCCCGGATTGTTTTAACTCAGCTAAAATTCTATTGATTTTCCTTTCTGTAATAAGTCTATAATATTTAATATTAATCTTACGTATTCTTTGCTTGGCCATCCTTGAAGCACATTTGTCCTACTAATGCAGCAGATTGATCACCTAAACACTGAAAAAACAAATAATTCCATAATATTTAATAAAAAAAGTTTTTGCATTTATTTAAGTAATCAAATTAGATTTTTTTTAGAGGAATAATTTTGGCTGATTTTCTTTACAGAAACATTTAGAAGTTTTTCAAGAGGCAACTAGACTTTCTGGTTTTTCTTTGAAGATGTTTCACTTCTCATCCAAGAAGCTTCTTCAGCTTTAATTGGATGGTGGGGAATGGACGGATTTATACTACTTTCAGACAGATGGTCATTTGCATTCGGCTATCAAGTTAAGGTCACTTGAGGTTTATCTATGTCATCAGTATCACCTGACTGGTGCAAATGGGTGTGAAGCCTTCTTGGAACTGTTGTAATGACTGTGTTATAGACTGGAGATAGATGATTGTTGTATCCTTCTCCCTCTGTTGAGAGAGGGGTATTCAATTTTTACCCCTCTTTCAAATCAGCGGACCAGAGAGAGGCAAAACATCTTCAAAGAAAAACCAGAAAGTCCAGCTGCCTCTTGAAAAAGCACTTTTGGGACAAGCATGATCTGCATGACTAAGAATCTCCATAGACAAACATTTAGAACATTGTATTTTATCAGCTTGCAAACATAACTGTTTAGTGGACATCCAGTTTATATGACAAGATTTTGCATTATGTTCTTAAGGAGTATAATTCCTTCAATTAGCTTTACCCATTTGTGATTATTTCTTATAATCATCAAATAGTATGCATATATATATATATATATATATATATATATATATATATATATATATA